CGGGCACACAAAGAAGAGAGGGACCCGAAATTGCTCTGCACATTGAGAAGGAAGGACGCAGTCGCCTAAATCTCAACAGAGAGAGAGAGAGAGAGCTGAATCTGCTGATCACAAGCAGAAGACACGGGCAGCCACCCAAAGCTGTTCGCGTCTGCACAAGAGAGGACACCCAAATCTGTTCGCGACACACAAGGGAGGATCGCAAATCTGTTTACAAAAGAGCCAATGCCGCCACTCCTCATCGCAAAATTGCAGTTCGGCTTGCTCTTCATTGGGACGGGTTTTGTTGATTCTTACTTGATTTTTATCATGATTTTCTGCTGGGTTTTCCTATTTATGGCTGTTGAGAACGTAAATACGTGTGGCTAGATTTCTTAGAACTAGGGATGGATGGATTTTAATTTTTGGATTATGTAACTATTTTTCTTAGTTAATTCAAGATTTATTAGTTATTTGTATGATGAGTTTATGTTATTGAGTTTAATGTATTGAGAGCCGATCATTTTTTAATTGATTTAGTGATTTATGCATGAACTTAAAAAAGAATTACGTAAATTAGGCTAATAATAATATAAACCCTATGTTAGATTATGAAACTGAGAGGTAATTAGCTCACATGTGATAGTGGAGGAAGAGAAGAGAGTTAGTAGCTCCCCTTCTTAAGCTAGAGGTTTCTATAAAATCTAATACTCATTAGTTTATTTAAAATTATATAGAGATATAATTAATTTAGCAAACAAATGAAGGATTAGCTTGACTTGAGAAAGCTGGTTAATTAATTTAGAGAAATCCGTCATGTGATAACACTATTATTTGAACTTGAATTAAATTAATTAAACAGTTGCATAATTTAGAATTAAATGAAATCTAAGCCCTAGTTCCTTTCCGTTCATAGTTTCTTAACTTAGAAAATTCTTTTAGTTTAATTCTTTTAGTTTAAGTAGTTTTCTTTTAAATAGTTTAGTTTTATCTCATTAATTGGTTAATTCAACTTAGGTTAGATTAATATTGTCTTGTTAGTGTAGGATAGTTCTAGAGGGAATGATATTTTATTTATCTTATACTGCATAATCGATTAGGTTCACTTACCTAAAAGTAGTGCGTATTTGGTGCATCAATAATCTATCACCAAAATTGGTGATACATAGCCAGATGAAGGTGAGTAGTTCTCCGCCCTTAGTTTCTGTGCATGGGCATTTGCAATTACTTGCGGCATGACCCATTAGATGTACCCAAACGCGGCTCATTCTCTTCCAAGGATAACCATATGACTGCCTAAGTTGGATAGCAAGATCTCGTGCAGCAGGTAACACAGATCCGTTTAGTCCCTCTCTCTCATGCTTGTCAAACTCAATTGAAAGGATTTGTCTACTGGCGTTTTTTGCATTTGAGGCTAAACTCTGGCCGCCTAAAATTAACAAGGTATCCTCATATGTGTCATCAAATATATTTTTCCAATTGTTTAGTACGGAGGACATCATAACAGGCTCCAATATTAAAAGCAAAAACATATAATCTGAAAGTAGCTTGCAAATTGCTTTGTGATCATCTGTACCCCCAATCCCAGATGAAATACTTTATCCATCTTCTTCTCGGAAGCATAACTCTGTGGCTATATGCCATGTTAAAAGGCTGTGTGTGTAATCAGACTCCTGAATGATCCTCTCAACATACTTATCAATTAACCAGGCTTGAAGGTTTCTTTTGCTCCTTTGAAACCAGTCTTCCTCGAGTACTCCTGCAGGTTCTCTCTTGAGAAAGCTCACCACTTGATCAAATATGAAGCGCCAGAGAAGGTCTTCTCTAAAATTTTGGGAGGACAGACATTGAATTCCTTTTATGACTTCCAACAAACTCCTCACAGGAAGAAAAGTAGCCAATTTTTTCAACCAATTTGGATGGTCCTTGACACTATAAGTAATAAAATTTAACTGGGGAACTGCTTTAGACCACCTTCGCCTGTTGATGAAACCATCATCATCAACGAATCTGTTGGATCCATTATTATGGAAGTAAGCAACAAAAAACCAATCGGAGGAAACAAGTAATATAATAGAAATGAAATGCAATGCCAAGGCCCGATCAACAATCCGGGCGTTAGGCAAGCGTCAAACGCCTCCAGCTCATAATGCTTCTTGACTAATGAGAATGACAACATGGCTCCCAAGATGCAACCGAAGTTCAAGCCGCAGCAGATGTATCCAATCTTGGAAATAACCACAGGAAACTTGGTGTGGAGAACCTCATACAAGAGGCTTAGTTCAATTTCCATCTTTCGGAGCGCATCTTTTGCAGAAGAATCCATTTTTTTGCTTTCGAAATTTGCAAAACTCTTCATAAGTTGAGATTTAGATAAAAAAATAGCTGTGAAGTGGACGCCTTATGGTTCCAAACACGTAAACTGCTGCTTGTAATATCGACTTGGGATCAGAATTCGCAAAACATAGGTCAAAATCATTATCTCCCAAAGATGAAGACGCAGTATCTATATTTGTGCACCAGGAAAAATGCAGCAAGCATGCAGAAGCTACTCTGCAGCACTACTAGGCCAGTGCAATTTGTCAAATGGCCACACAATTAAGTCAGCAAAAATGGCCATTCAAAGTCGACAAAAATGGCTAATTTCCAACTGCATTTTGCTTTTCATTTATTGCCTTAATTGGGTTTTACCTATAAATAGCCATGTTTCCCCATCGTATGCATAAGTTTTTATCAAGTTTTAATTAAAAGTTTCAGTTAAATTCTCCTTTATTTTAGTGAGTTTTTTACGGTGAATTTCTCACAATTTATCTCTATATCTTAGGTGTTGCCAACCTAAGTGGTATTTCAGGCAATCGAATTCATCATAGCGAAATTTTAAATCTTGTCAAAATTGGTGTTTTGGTATCGGCTCTTTCGCCAATTTGATTCCAACAGTTTTATTGGCAGGCAATCTGCAGTTCCCAAGTTTTTGAATTCTACTGGAATGGGGAGTCCTGCTGCCCATTCTCTCGACGCCCAATTATCTCCAAATTGGTCAAATCTTGCAAGATAGAAGGCACGATTCTGCTCTGCATGTTTGATTATGGCTGCAATCAACACTAGGACGGTTGGGAGCCAAAGCTTGTTGTCTGGAAGCGACATAATGAAGACGTAGACAGTAGAGCCAACTTGTAATGCCATCCCACGCAAATGCCTAACCCAAAACTCATTGTCCTCCAAGGCAAAGGACGTGATGGTGTCGGGGCCACCAAGGTGCAATACGAAAAAGGGTGCCCAAAAGGCCTGGATGTCACTACTTTTGGCAGATTTTTTCTTCTGGTTGCTTAAGATAGATCCAATGGCAAGTCCCGCAGTCCAATCTGCGAGTAAGTATACGGACCAGATCTTCGATCCTGCGAACACAATGTCCCCATTTTGCCCCTAGACGTTTTCTTAAGGGTGCAAAGAGAATTAAGAAAGCCTAAATCAAAAGGCTTAGAATGATGAATGCTCTTATATTCCATGAATCCCCGAGCTTGAGGACATTTGAGAGACCCATCATCTTCAAATTTTGTCTCGTTAACTTTAGGAAAATTTAATACCTGCCTTGTCTAAAAATTAATCATATGCAAAATAAAATAATTACTACACTATTTATTGAAGGCCCAAAATGAAATAATTAATAAAAAAAAAAACTAGACTAATTATTCAAATCCAAACTTAAATTAGGAAAAGGCCTAAAACTCTTGTGGCTAGTTTGGTTGGATGAAATACCATTCAATGGTTAAAGGAATATTAGTGAAGGAGTTAGAATCCATTTACATATAAATTTTATATATTATGCCTACACAAAAGCCTGATTATTTATCTTTTCTATTTTCAATAATTGAGATTTATTCATTTTTTATCATATTTATTAAAAATAATTATCTTTTTCATATTAAAAGTCATGATAAATCTCAATTATTAAAAATAAAGAAATTAATAGTTATGATTTTGTATAAATATGATATGCCAAACTTGTATATAAATGGATTCCTACTCTTAGTGAAAATTTGAGATTAAGAATATATAAATATATATAGTGTTTTACGGGTGATTCTCTCAAAAAAAAAAATTTAGGTGACCTATCTAAAAACTAATTTTCTAATTAATATTTTGAAAAACCAATCATTGGATTGAAAACTCTATTTGTAGAAATTATGCTAGTTAATTTTCATATTGTTCTAATAATCCTAACCTCTTCATTGATTACAAGATATTTAACATTGTTTTTTTTTTCTTTATAGAAAATTAACATTGTTAAATATGCATGAATCACATGAATAAAATTTTGAATCCAACTGTTAGCTTTCAAATATATTAACAAGAACGTGTGTTTTTAAACAAGTCTCAAAAAAAATTTAAGAGGACAACCTACACTACACTAACCTACATATATATACATATAAATAAGAAAAGTGTTTATCAACTAGATCTCTAAAAAATTAAGTGGAAAAACACTTACATTATTTCAATAAATTCTCATTAAAAAAGAAAAAAACTAAAAGAACTTATTTTTAAACCAAAGTTGAGTTTGTTTTGGTCTTTTCTCAACATAACTTTGAGGTGTTTTTCTTCATAATTTTTTTTAGGTTCAATTGATAAGTACCAAACACTTATTTCTTGCATACAATGATTTATATTAACAAACAATACTTGATAGGGAATAGTTAAGGTCAAATGTAAATTTTGAACATTTTTAACCTTTAAACTATTTTTTGTACTTTTTGAATTCATGAATAATGAAAAATGTATTTTTTAATTCTTTCGCATCAATTAATTCACTAAGTTTGCTCAAATATACACTTTTTTAATTTCTTTATTTATAATATATATACATTTTTAGTTTGCTTTTTGGGTGTTAGTTATGTTGCCGCAACATATCTAACCCCATAATAACATGAAATTAGGCCAAAATTTTAATTTATTTGGATAAAACACTCTATTTTCCTTGAATTAAACAAACTCTTTAACATGTTTTGATTATAAACTGGAAAACAATGTGCCTATGATGAATAATAAAATGAAATGCACAAACATATTTTTTATGGATACAATCAAATGAACATCTAACACATTATAATACAATCAAATCAAATTAATTACAAATTCTAACAAACCAATCTGAAGTTGGAACCTAAGATACATCAAGACCTACGTCCATCTCATCCACTAAGCAGTACTTCATAGATAAAATGCATCAACTTTTAAAAACCCAATCTGCTAAGCATAACAATAACGTCTCCATTGAAACCTAAATTTCTCCTCCAAGTGATGAGCCTTGTCCCAGAGAATCATAAAAATTGGTAGAGGCAGAGGAAAATCAGAGGTATAGGATCAAACAAATAATTACGGATTGACAGAAGCAGAAGCTTGAAGAAAAAGCTTGTAATGAGAGGAGCTCCTCGAGGAGAGATTTAGTTAAAATATACCGGAATATATAGAAATTAAAAACCAAAAGACTACGATATATTCTGTTTTCTTTTCTTCTCTCGCTGATAAAGAAAAGCATGAAGCATATCTTTAATGGGCTGTTACAGCCGTTGATGCTGTGCCTCAAAGCTAGAGAAAGTGGAAGTATAAAGAGCAGAAAGAAATATTGACAGCAATTTGAGTCACATTTTTTTTTTTTTCTGAATCTGCACAATGTGAGTCACATTAATTTAGGTTACACCACAAATGTCACTAGTTCAATGAGTGTTATCCGCGCAAGGAAATATTCTCACATGTCCCCATGATACATGCTATGATGAGATACCTCATGTTTATGTCACAAGTTTTTTAATTAATGGAAAACTTATTACACCTTATATTTTCACTCAAAAAAATAAACTTACACCTTATAAAATTCTTTTTTATTTTTATTTTTTATCTTGAGTAACATAATGAAAGAAAATCCTTTCTTATCCCTTAACCTATTCTAACCGTACATATATCATAGAATTTAATTTTAAAATCTTTTATTTTCATTTAAAAAAATTATTATTAAATTACTTAGATGGTTGCCTATATAAAAACTTATAAATTCAATGTTATTAAAGTGTGAAATCTATGCAAAGATGTCATATACTAAAATTGTAAAGTTTATCAAAAGCCTTTCTTCTCGACTAAAAATATATAATAGAATTTTAATTAATACACCTTTCAATTTAACATATTTAACAATATATTTATTAAAAAATTATTATTTTTTATTTAAAATTTAAAACAAATAAACTTAAAAATATAATCATATATACATAATATAAGAATTAACTAAATTAATTATACTTATATTATATTTTAATAGTGAATTTCAAAAATAAATTAAACTAAAAATTTCCATGTCACAATTATTCCGTGACAAAATAAACTCTCTTCAAACAAGGGCCGCGGGGCTGTAGTGGG